AACTAAATAAAATGAAATGAAAAAAATAGTAAAAAAATAACATAAAATTCAAAGTTAATAAAATATAACAAAACAAAATGAAAATATTATAACATAAGCTCAAATAATATAAACTAAAAAAAATAAATTAATATAACATATAATAAAATTAAAAATTTAAAATACAGTATAACAAAATAAAATGAAAATAATATAAAATAGAAATAAATTAAACTAAATGAAATGAAACAAAAAAATTAAATAATATTAAGTAAAATAAGATAAAATTGCTTAAAACATAATCAATAAATAAATAAAAGTAAAATCATTAAACAAAATAAAATGAAGTTGAAAAAATAAAAAGGGAAATAAAATATAGTAATATAAAATATAAAATAAAAATAAACTAAAATAAAAAAAAATTAAAAAAATATAATATAAAATATAATATAATAAAATAAAGCAATATAAAATAAAAAAATAAATAAAATAAAATAAAATAAGTTGAAATAAAATACAATAATCTATAATAAAATAAAGCAATTTAAAAATGAAATGAAATAAAAATAAATTAGTTAAAATGAAACAAAATAAAATAAAATAAAACATAAATTGAAATAAAATAAAATATAATAAAATAAAGCAATATAAAAATGAAATGATATAAAATAAAATAAAACAAAATAAAATACAATAAAACATAATAAAGTAAAAAAAATTAATCTAAATAAAATACAATAAAATATAATAAATTAAAAAATAATAGATTATGATGAAGTAAAACAATTAAATTAAAATAGAATAAAACAATGTGATGATATAAATAAAATATATTAAACAAAGAACATTAAATAAAGTAAAATAGAAGAAGAATGAAATAAAATTATTAATTAAATGATAAAATAAAAAAAATTAATTGAATAAAATAAAAAATAAAAAAATAAATCAAACTAAAAATAGTAAAAAAATTGAATTTTCCATTTTAATTTAAATTAGTTAAATAATTCCATTTTTAATTAATTTACTTCTTTTTCATTTAATTTTATTTTATTAGTTTGGGTTTGTTTCATTTTATTAATTCTTTTTTAATTTTAAATTGTTATTAACTTTTTTAAATTATATAAATAAGTTGAAATAAAGTATAATGGAATAAAACACAAAATTACATTAAAAAAAAAATAAAGTAAATAAGATAAAATTAAACAGAATATAGTTTAATATAATAATATAAGCAAACTAAAAGAAAAGTAAAACAAAAAATATATATATTAAAATAAAAAATTAAATCAAATAAAATTAAATAAAAAAACTAACGTAAATAAAATAAAAAAGCAAAGACTTAAATTTTAAGTGCGTATTTTTTATAATTAAATAAATATAATTTTTAAGTTTTTCAACTAAACTTTGCAAACATTTTGTGTAAATATATTGTATAAACAAACATAAATTCAAACCCCACAGTGGTAATGCTACCAATAATATTGTATAATAATAACTACCAATAACTTGAAATAACCACAAAATTTCAAGAGGCCAAGTTGCAGCTTATTTGGCTAAGAGCCAATATTGAAATATTGATGCTAAGCAAATCACTAAGTGGCCAATTAAAGTTTAGTATCGGTAAGAAATGGCTTTAGCAATTGCTTTAAAATGGTGAAAGTAAGAAGAAGAGAGGAGTGAAATAACATGTGCTTAACGAATAGAAGTAGGAAATAAAAGTTCTTTTTTTTTTTAAACCAACAGTTAGATACTCGAGTTGTGTCGACAACAGAATAGTGATTTAATGAGATTCTTTTACAAAAAAAAAAAAAATATATATATATAAAAGAGAAGCATTTTAAAAGCTTTGTAACAAGAGTTCATAAGATGATTGCGCTCTGCATTTTGAGCAGAAACACATTTTTTTAGAAAAGAAATTTTAGCGTTGTTCAGCTTAAGTAACTGACTTCAGTTAAGTAGTTTAGTTATTTGGCATTCTCCGTTTTGATGTACATATGTATGTATGTACCCAACTCACAATTGTGATCGTTAAGACAAATAATTAGAATTTTCTGTTGTTTATTTTGCCATGGATCGATCGATTAAAAATAAAGGCAGATATTTTTTTTTACTACTTTGTAACCCTATATCTACGAAGTCCTTCGTTCATATCTCTGAGAAACTTCCTACTGTCAAAGTTTAGTGTATTCGTTTTTGAGGCAGAAATTGAAAATTGTGTATCAGATTTCAAGTTAACCGCATTTACAGTCTGGGGTCATATAATTAGTGGTAGACCGTTCAAAAATTATTTTAATGCGACATCTCTACAGGTATACATATGTACATATTTATGTACCTGAAACAACCACCACAATCTAGGCGACACTCACGGCAACGACGGAGTAAACAGTAAATTAGTTACATTTATTAACATACATTTATTAACGAGGAAATAAAATAAATTAAAATAAATAATATAGAAATTCTTTATTGAGAACTGATTTTTGAAAAACTTTAAATAAGTTTGTTCCTACTTAACTTTTTACCAAACCATTTCATAAGGATATGCGCTAAACACAAATTTCTGCATATAAATTAGATTTCATACAAATGCTTATTATTGTATTTTGGAATGCATTAGAAAAAAATCATTTAGAATACTTTCTACAAATAAAAATACATTTAACATACATACATATACGCAAATCAATCTGTTTTACAAAAACTTTTTAATTCATTTAATCGCCGCTTCGCAACGAATGACATAACCCGCAGAAGTAAGCGACCAGCAGTGAAAAATCGTGCCCACTTGCTATGTGTTGTAATCTTTGTTTCGAAGATAAAATCACGACTATCGGGCACTGCACCAGCTCAACTTAGGTTAACTAGACGTGCTGTTGTGGTCGTGGCAGGCGCTCCTTAATTACGTATTATTTTTGCGGTGTAACTGCGTTATGAGAAATTTCCTTTTTAAATATTTTTCTATATATTAATACTTCAATTATTTTTTGTCCTTGAGAATATAAAAAAACACACACCGCGCTCTGCTAGACCATATATTATAAAACGAAGTTATTAACATTCATGTCTTCAACTCAAATTCTTTATTCTATTTCTGAATTTCCTAGTTTACTACCTGTCATTCCAATTACTCCTTTGTTACCTTTACGCTCCCATCATCTCTTGTCTTCTAACTTGCCTATGAGCGGCTGTGTATGCGGTGTTTTCTTACATACACCATATACACATGTATACATATGTATACTTCTATACATATGTATATATGTCCATATTTTTACATATGTATGTATGTATGTAATTAGAAAAAAAAGAAATATTCTAACGTCATCTTCTCATTTCCCTGTCATAACAGCCCTTTTCAGCCAAGCTTCTTTTCACAGTTACAACCCCACTCACTTCCTTTTTCTGTGCCAAACAAATTTATGTATACTCACGCGTTTGGTTACAAAAAAACAATTGGGAGAATATTTTTTGCATTTGTTAATTTGCGCAGGATATAATAACTCGCACATAAATACATACATAGATTTGTATGTAGGTATGTTTGTACATAGATTTGTTTTTATGTAACACTATTAATTTCCACCTGCAAACTTAAAATGAAAATATGCATATACATATTTACATACACATAGTATGTAAATATGTACAAATTGAACACTAATTGGAATTGAATGCCGAGGATAAACAAAACACCTAAAGATATGCTAATTAAATTTTCTTTTCTCAATTTCAATTTCAATCTCAATTTTTCATCTTCATTCTCAGTATTCGAATTTCACTTCACTAGAATTGCACTTTCATTTACCATTTGAATTGTACGAACTGGTGCACCATCAAGTATGAAGTTGTTGGTCGGCCGGTTGATGTTTGGTTATTATTGTTTTTGTAAAAATTGTTTAGTTTAGTACGTCTATATAAAACTGGTTTAGCTTTTAACTTTTACATATGCATACATACATATGTATGTATGTATGCATGCATATTTCTTATTCGCTGCTTCTTTAACACTACACTCGTTTCGTTTCGCTATAATTCGATTTTTTTTTATTTGTTTGCTTCCTCTTCTGCAACTTCTTCTACCACTGCAGTAGCTACTTCTACTTTTTTTCAATGAAATTTTGCACTTTGCAAAGTCTGATTTCCTCTGAATCACCACCACATACAACTATTCACACCCGTATGCAAAAACAAAAAATTACTTTTCTTTTATAAAAAAATTATTGGTTTTTCAAATTGAAATTCGTTTTGCGACTTTTAGTATCGTCTGTCCCGAAAAATATCGTTTTTAAAGTATTTTCTTTCTTTTGAATGAGAAAGAAAAATATTATAAATTGTATATGTATGTATTGGTCCGCGTATCCGTTTCCGTACATGTATATAACGTCCGAACGCCGCGACAGTTGCTATTGAATTGAAACCATTGAAACACCCAAAAACTGTAGGGTCATCGGCGAACATCGGCGCAATCGGCGTTTGCAGTAGAAAATTTTCCGAAAACCGATTATTATTCGTTGAATTACGTTCTCTGCTCTCTGATTATTTGTTTGCCATGTTTTGTTTTTGACATTCGCATTATTGTTTGTTGTTGAGATACAGTGAAAATGAAATGGTTGTCTGGTGAAATGTATCTGACAGTTTGCATTGTGAAACTGCGTTCGAAAATATGCGCTATGAAAACTAGAGTGTGTCTACTTGGTAAAATTGGTGAGGCAAAAATTGAATGCAGCAATTGGCTACGTCACTTCGTTCATGGCTAAAGTGAGAGTCGGTCAATCTGCCCGACAAACGGTTCAGCGGCAATCATGCGTCAATTATAACTATTATTATATTAATTTACATGACAACGTTGTCATCTCGTATCCATTTAAATTTTTAATTAAAAATACTGCCATTTTAAAAACATTTAATAGATATTTTTATAAAAAAGTGTCAAGAAACATGAAAATAATTCGATTTCTTATTAGATTTCAATAAAAGGATTTATTTTTTTTTGAATACGTTTCGATTTTCTTTTAAAATAATTCATTTAGATTTTTTTCGAAATAAAATTGCTACCACAAAAATAAAGCATAAGCAATTTACGTAAAATAATTAAATAATCTCAAAAAAAAGGACGATTGGAACTACTTTATTTTTGTAACATCAAAAAGCCGTTAGTACAAAAGAATTATGGCCCCTTGAAAATACAAAATTCACAGTTTGCTGGAAAGGATTTGCTCATGCGGTATTATAATGGGTGGGATCTAAAATAAAAAAGGTATTGTAGAACTATCTATTAATTTATCAATAATTTGTTAATTCTACATCGGTCCGCTTCAAGTTTTACCGCCTTTTTATACAGAATATTTATTTATTTTAAACATTCAATGACGTAATAGATTTTTTTTCCGGTGACATATGCTGTGAAATGTCTAGTCCTCCTAATTAAGGCCCGCCTCGACTGTTAAAAATGACAGCAAAGGACCTCAAATCCTTATATGAATAGCTCAGTCAGCAAGCATTTTCTTTATATGCATCATAAATAAACGAAGGAGTGTCAATAAAAATTGAAAATCGACATCATGCCTAATTTTTTTATACGAATTTCGTGATCTGCTACATTTTTTAACCGTAAGCTGGTTTCAAAATTAAATTTAATCGCTCTGTTGTGCAGTTCAAATATTTAAAAATTTCAATGGAAAGATTCTATGATGCTTGCAGCAGATGATAAAGCCTAATACAAACATTATTTTCAGTTTGCTAATTTTAAAGACAATTATTTAATGGTTTCCAAAAATTGCACGGCTGCACTTTATTATGTCAAATTAAATCAGTTGAAATATAGTCCAATCTCTCATAAGTTCCTTACATTGAACCCAAACTCAAATTTTTATATTATTTCTATAACGAGATCATTACAAGAACAATGGAAAATCTTAAGAATTAATATATACTTTTTACTTTAATCATGTTCCATACATCTAAAGCCAGTGTGGAAAGCCTCTTCCTACTAAAAAAAGCAACCCAGCATCTTAGGTTATGTTGTCTCGGTTGTACAACCCATATTCAGAGCCCAAATGACTATATTGCCATCTCTTTTTAACAGTGACAACGGAGGGAAGACTTTATGCTTAGCTACGGTTTGCTCGCTCTGTTCGGTTACCGTGCGGTAAGATACCGTGAAATAAAGACAGTTCAGTTTATTTCGTGCGTTTAACGTATTCGGTGGTGTTTTTTCGTGTTAAAAGTGTAATAAATTGAGAATTGCTTTGCCGTGTGTATGTGTTGTGTGAAAAAATAGAAAATTTTGGGAAGTGAAAATCCACCTTTATGGAAATGAAGTGCAAAAAAAGTTGATCAAATTGCCTTTTGTAGTAATTAAATAACCTTCTGTTTGTAAAAGATTGATGCAAAGAGTGTAGAGAAAATTTTTTAAAGTGCTGAATGAATATCGTGAACGAAGCAGCACAACGCACGCAAACACATGCACATATCCTAGTGAATCCGTACACAAAGCTACGAACCAATGTAAAGATGGAACTAAAAAATTTTCACAATCTTTCTACATGATTTATTGACCGAGAAGAAAAGAAAAAGAACAGCAATGTAAAATGTAGTAAAGCGAAACTTATGAAATAAATTGGAAAACAAATAAGCTTATTTTCGCCGTTGAACCTACATACATATATTTGAAACAAAATATAATTATTTTTAAAATACACAAGAAAAACAAAACGCTATAGGGCAATAATCAATTGCACCAAGTGATGTTGGAGGTATGAACAAAAAATTTATTTTCCTTTATCAGTTAAATTATGTTCATTGCATGAAGTAAATAGAAGGAAGTGTTATATAGTGAGAAAATGGCCGTATGTATTTGAAAATTGGGCGGGAGGTGTGTACTTCCTGTAGTGTAGTTGTTGGTTCATTTGTGTTTTCGTTTTCAAATAAATGCTTATTTTGCGCACTACCATATTCCAAGTGGTCCCCTTCGTGTGACAGCTCCAACATTCGGCTCCACTACGTTTATGTATCGTACTTACTTATGTTAGCGCGAACCTTTCTACATTTAGCTCTGCGTGTCTTCGGCAAATTATTTCTGATTGCCTGATTGCGCGCATTCACTAAAACCATTCAGACACGCATTCAATTTTGAAGTTAATTTTAAACGGAAGGAATACTGTTTATAATTTATTTGATGCTGTTTCTCCATCACTCTTGTTTGGAGTGTACTTCCTTTGATATATTGGAGCTCGGTCTCAAAGTAAAATGGATGCATACGAAAGTTTTCATTTCTATTTTTTCCCCAATTGTATAAACTTTTTGACAGCAATCTCTCAAGCACAGTGAAAGGAAAGAGATGCATATGTTAACGCTAGTCACTCACTTCACACATGAGAAAGACAGCACTTCTACCACATACGATATTGCTTTCCTGCTCTGTTAAGTTTTGATAAAAAGAATAGTACAGCTGTTATGTTGATTCCCCGCATGAATAGTGTCGGCGATTTCTGTCTTTAATGCATCGGCATATTTTCAAAATCAAAACAATCCAAAACATTGAAAATTACGGTTGCAGCGCTATCGATGCTTAGCACGACTTTACCTTTTTTTTCTTTTTGAGTAAATGACGTAAAAGACGTTGACGTTGGCTTCAGAGAAAGTGGGTTGGCGGTTCCTTCTAATCGTATTTTGTTTTGGTTTTCTATGGTTCTCCTCACCGATTCTTCGATTGTTTTATTTTGATGCAGTTTTTGCAATAAATTTTGGGTGGGTGGGTTGTTAAGGTGCTTGACTTTTGGTTCAATGTGCGCGCCAAAGTTTTGTCGAAGGTATAATACAACCCAGGTATGTAGATATGTATGTATGTAAGCACATACGACTGTCGAAACACTGATTTGTAAACATGTAAGAATTTTGTTAGTTTTTTTTTTTAATATCAAGACGATTATTATTGGTGCATAGCTAATTGATGATTTCGAAAAGGTTTGCGTCTAAATTAGTCTCCGCTTGAGTCTGAAAAGTAGCGTATGCAAATTAATTAGCAACAGCCAAAAAATTAATTTGTTCTTGCTGGGTATTTTTGCTTCACTTTTTTCTAAGCGTCTAAATATATGAAATAGCAACACTAATGAAAAGGAAAGTTTATTAAAGTTCTTACGTAAAGCTAAATTATTTGTATGTTATACTTTAATTTACTTATGAAAATTCTTAACTCATACTATATAGTAAGTTATATATTTAACACAAATACATATGTATTTAGGTTCTAATTTAAGCTACGCATGTTGCACAATTTTCTTGAATTTCTCTATTTTTATACATACTAAGTACATATTATATATTTGTTTATGACAAATTATAATTGTTAATTAGGCATATGTAAATCGGAATTTTATATTTCTGATAGTTTTTTGTACATCTAAAAGTAAATCTATGCTAATTATAATGAATGAGGGAAAAAACTCCCAATCACTTGTAGATATATTTCAAAACCAACTGCAAGAGGGTCTGCTATCAATAACTGGTTTGTAAAATCCCAGCGGCTAGACTGTTCATTACTGCGGTAAAATAATATTTAATGTTTTTCGTTCTTGCATACCTCCGGTAATTTGATGCAAACATTTTTCCTCTACTTTAAAGTCCTTCGCTTGCCAATTTGCGTAGACTTATGTGTAACTGTGGAGATTGTACAACACATTAACCGATTTTAATATTATTTAAAGTAATTTTATAACAAATGGTTTGGCAATTTTTTTATGAATAAAACGGCTATATATATATATAAGTATCATCTAATTAATCAAAGTTTTGCATGGTATTTATTTATACATTTTACAAATATTTTGCGCAGCTATGAAGAGTAAGCTATTTGCAAGTGATAATATTTTCCTTGCAGGTGTTACATGTACATACTTACATTGTTTGTTTACCAAAAGTGGTTTTCTAAAAAGCAAATAAAATGCCTTGAACATTTTTGGATGTTATTATACGAAAGCAGATAGTAATTAAGTAACCGAAGCATTAAATGTAACAACAAATAACTAAACAAAGAAACAAACTTGTAACAACGCAACCTAACTCAAGGAATTGTTAAGTAAATTTATTTATAAAAAAAATCGTGAAAGCAAATATAAATGGTTTCTACTTTTATCGGGCTATTGGGTGAGTGTATGCATATTCTGTTTATAATTATGTCCAAATATATCTATTAATTTCATTCTTTTTTTTGTTAAATTCTTTGCAGATATTCAATCATGGTGGGAGATACCGTGTATATCTCATTTTTGTTCATTGTTTAGTTCCGCCTTTGACCTGCCCGACATCGACATCGAGGTATGTTCTGTTTGGCAAATTACGATTAAATTTTAACTATCACAATAATTTTTACAAACATATAAATACGACGCAAAAGTTTCGTGCCTCTTTTAAAGTGTTTATCAATTTTGCAGGATCTTGAGTCGGCGCTTTTATCGGACGGAACTGATGAAGATCAAATCGCACTTGTGCCCGAGTTAATTGTACGCCTATTAAAGGGTTGCGATGCACTCAAGTCGGTAGCAAAAGAAATAACTCATAGTAATTATCAAATGTTCTTGCGGCGTTTTCTACGCCAACAGTGTCGCATACACAATACCGAAAATCATTTTGATACGGACATTGACTTCCAGTCGTTGCCGGTGCGCAAACGCTTACAAATACTACATGATTTATGTCATTTCCGACTCGACTCGTGCGATGTACAAGTTATACTAAGTAACTTGGAAGCGGATAGCTTAAGAGTTGAGCCGCTAGGTTACGATTCGAAAAATTCTGGCTATTGGTATTTCTATGGCACACGATTATATCGTGAGGACAAAGCAGCATTATCGGCGAACAATAATAGTGGTGGTAGTAGTAAATCATCGAACGCTGCAATAAATAGTAATGGGTGTGCAAAAGGGGCCGATGGCGCTGTGTGGCAAGTAATTTGTTTTACCGAAGAAGATTGGCAGAATTTGGCCAGCAAATTTAAATCTTCGACGAACGCTAAAGAACGTGAATTGTATCAAATATTAGATGAAAATTTTCTACCGAAATTACCACAACTTTTTCGTGAACGTGAACGATTGCGGCGTAGAAAGTAAGTGGAAGTTTCTATTTTTTCGTTGAGTTTTCGAAAGATAAATTGATTTATTTCCATGGACAGATAATTTTGAAGGCTTTAGCCCTGTTGGGCAGATTTTTTATTTAATATATTGAAGTTGACTCCTAAATATCCACAAAATTTAAGTAAGAAACGTGAACTTTATACCCAATTTACGCTTAAAAATGAAATCATTAATAATTTTAGATGTAGAGTTTTCGAAAGAGAAACTCACAGGCTATAGGTCTAAATTTACTTAACAATACAATCTGGTTTTCCTTTGCGCTTTCGCTGGATATTTCTTAATTCTTTAGTTCAGTTTTATATTGTATAGTACTGATAAATACGATAAATTTAACAACAACATTTATTTTTATTCTCTACAGACTACTTCAAGTACGCAATTCGACACGCATACGTAATATCGTCGAGCTAAAAGCGCGCCAAGAACAGGAACGTTTATTGCGCGAACGTCAACGCTATCAATTCGAGCCGCCGAACAATATAAAGCACCAGCAGTTGGGCCGAGCGAGAAGACGGTTAGCGAGAGAACTTGCCACTACTACAAATACAACTACAACCACTACTACTAGGGACAGCCATAATTAAAAAGAAAGAAAATCTAAAAAAGATAAAAGTCAAAATCAGAAAGAAACCGACTACAAACCTTCAAAAAACAAAAACAAATAAATTCAAACAAACACCATGACACTTAGAGAGAACTGTAATCAAATGAAAATGAACGCAAACGCATTTCAATAGCTCATTATTCATTAAAATACATACATACATATGTACTTCGTCCAGCATAATCGTACAAATACAAACAAATGTAAAACACAGAGAAAAAAGAGAGAGAGTACACAAAATAAACGCATGCGAAACAGAATTGACAACTCAAGAAAGCACACAAACATACATACTTTCACATCAACCTAACAACATTATTCATATGTGCATAAACAAAAAGCATTTAAACTAAAATTTTATATTTTTTTTTCAACTAAAAAGCTTTGTTTGATTTTATATACGCTCATGAATCAATGTATTTGCAATTCGTTAATACTATTAAGTTCCATTCAATTTTAAGACGCTATAATCAGTTGAATTGCCTGGAAGGCTGGAAACTTTCAGTGCATAATAAATTAACTGACGGTTCCTTCGTCTTTTCATATGGAAAATTAAAATAACATCATCATTTCAGTAATGCTTTCAGTTAGAATTTGTTTGACAATCTATAAGACAGCAAATTAAAACTGACCACTTACTCATTCATCAAACACTACTCAGCTCATTGCTACGTAAGCGCAATAGAAGTCATGAAATGCCATTTTTGGTGAATTTGCATGTCCAAATACGAGTATATTTCATGCTATATTAAAAGCTGACGAAAGTGCGTAGTGTCGAACAAAAAGGAAGTCGTCATAAAAAAAAAAGAAAAAACGCTCAAAACAACTTTAAGAATTTAACTAAAAATTTAATCAAATTAAACCAAAAACCTGCAAAAAACACCATAAAAGCGAGAGCTTGAGCAGCAACAACTTGTAGCAGCAGGACATGTAAAATTGGACGACAACGACAGGCATTAATTTACATTTATTTCGATTATTGTTGCTTACATCAACAATTTGGACGGGACTTTCATTTATACGTTTCGTTATTCAACTCAAAATCAAAAGAAAATTTTTTAAAACTTTAATAAAAAGAATTAAAAAGAAAACTATGTAAGCATGTTTTTTCTTCTGAATTTATTGCATTTCGTTTAGTTCTTAATAATTATTTAATTGTCTAAGTATTTGTTAAATTTACATTAATTTATTAAGTTATGTGTGACCTTTCTAGTTTTAAGCTTCCTTCTTAATTTATTTACTGCGAATTTATTCTTATATTGTTTCGATGGATACAAATATACAATAGGTTCACACACGTTAAGAATTTATAAAATTTCTTCTTTTTGTCTTGCGTACATTATCTGATCATGATATTTTCCTACGCGAGGCTACTGAAGCGGCAATTATAATTGAATTATTATTTTTATCTCATAAATGTTTTTAATATATCTACATTAATGCGATATACACGTACTTATACACACATATTTGCCATATAAAATGTATGTCTAAGGATTCTTGATATATTCAAGTGTCATGGTTTCGAATCCTGACTAAAGCAACGTTTCAAATTAAGGAAAAAATCTTTTCTAAATGTGTTCGCTCTTTAGCAGGGCACGCCAAACCGTCCGAGTATATTTCTGATATGAAATAAAAATGTCCTATATTTAAGTACAAGTCCTATATTTGAGCTAGGGTCTCGTCATATTGCTTATATAAATATAAATCCGTTATCGATATAATATTATGTAATACGTCTTTATAAAATTTTCTGCCACTAACATAGAATGCTTAAAATTTCAATCAAATTGGTAATATCCACCTTTACCCATTTGACTACCAACCACACTGAGGTCTTCGGTTCGAATTTCAAGAGTATTTGAAATTTTTTTTTTACTCGCATTTGGGATGGATCATTTGTCCCTTCTCATATGAAAGAAATGTTTCTAACAAAAATTTTAGTCTGATTCCTCTTAATTGTGGGAAAACCATCCAGATATATCCATGTATGCGAGTTAGGGGTACAAGAATTTACCCTCAGTAAGGCATGCCTGTCGCAAGAGGGGACTAAAATCTAATAATTCCCGCTACAGTCGGGTCTTTATGCCGGAACGAGCCGGATTTTTATCCGGCCAAGGACAGTCACTCCTGCAACTTTCCCCAAAAAGTGCTTTTAAGGATAGTTTTGCGGTTACAACAACAACAGCAGCAAATACCGCAGCAACAACAACATCCATATATATATACGCATATCATTTGAAACTTTAAAATTTATTCATTTTCTTTGTCGTCTTCTGATCGTTTATGTTACTCGCTTTTTTTCCAAATAATTTTATTACTTTGTTTTAGCTTTTTAATAAAAAAACAAGAGATTTCTACATAATTCTAACATAAAACCTTCACCAAAAGCACTTAATATCATCACTCTCATATACGTACATTAACCTCGGTGTAATCAAAATCTTAATGCTGAACTGTTCTTGTTGTGAGTTTTGCTTGAAAAATATATGCATTAACAGAATGTCTTTCTTTGCAGCTCCCAATCCACATCGACCGCAAGTGGTATATCCACTTACGCCAGCTCCTTGCGACGCACCACCACCACAAACTCCAGCGAATTTCTCTGCCATCGTGAGACATTTTGTCTAACACCTGAGGCCGAGGAACAAGAAGAGGAAGACATTGAGAACGATAGCGAACACAAAGTGGAAATCCAAAAGGAGCTACTTAAAACGCCAGACCACTTGAGTGCTCAGCAGTTAGTTGAAAATTATATCACATCTGGTGATAGAGTTGACGGCAAAACCTTTCCATGTCCCTCAGTGCAGCCAACTCTTAATCACGAAACCATTGGGGAAGCATACCAATTCTTGCCTCAAAATATCAAAGTTGAACCAGAGGAGTTGTCGGCCGATGAGGCGGAACATATTGTGATTCATAATCTTGCAACGTCCTTCAACGTCGATCCAAAGCCCATATTGACAAAAGCGGTTTCTGAGCGCCACTACCTATCACAGACACACAGCGATCAGGCCGAATTGGAAGAGGATCAGCAATCAGTACATCGCTCCTTAAATGATACACAATTGGCTTCTGTCGAACAGTCACCGCCTGTGAAAGTGAGAAAGTCGCATCACAAAAAGAAGAAGTCACAAAAGAAAGAAAAGAAAAAGAAATCACGTGAACATCGACGCCGTCATAAGCATGCGAATAGTGCCAACGCAACCAACACTGAAAAGACAGCAGAAAAAGCCAAAGGTCGAAAGGACGGTGTAGCGGCAAACAAAACAACAACCCAAAGTGGCAGTAGCAGTAGCAACAGCAGCAGCAATAGCAATAGCAATAGTCAGAGCAGCAATAGCCATAATAAAACATTCAAAACACGCAGCAATCATACCAGCAAAAGTCATCAATCTCGTGCACATGCGCAAAGCCACAGTCACAGCCACACACACAGCAACGGACATACTAACCAACACAGCAATAACCACGTGCTTGCACATACATCCTCACTAAGTCCGGAGGATAAAGAGAACTTCTGCCGCCAATTTAGCAGCGATCCAACAGCAACTACAACCGGCGAATTACATGAATTGTCTGCCGTAGGCGTTGTTGAAGCCCTGAATGATACCACAGCTGCAGTGGGCACTGGCATACAACTGGTTATCAGCGCTGTGAACGTAAAAAAAGAAGTTGGTGTGGGCATTGTGCATGATATGGCACCAACAAGCAATATGAAATTGCCCGGCAGACAAACGAATAATTCGCTCTCGTCGTTGACCGGCAACATATTCATACCGCCGCCATTGCGTGAGGATACGCCAATTACCGGCGCTACAACGTCAGAGCGCACTGAGAGCAAATCAAAGTCCGCCACGACTGCAAGTAGTGCGGGCAACAAGAAGCATCATAAACATAGTAGCGTATCAGTGTCGAGCTCAAACGCGTCCTCGGAAGCAAGTGGCATTGTTGAAAAGAGTTGCGGGGGCGGTGGGCACAAGAAGAAAGTTGCCGCGGCTGCAGCAGCAGCAGCAGCAGCAGCAGCAGCATCGGCGTCCGGCAGTTCGAAGTCATCCTCACAACACTCGGATAAAAGTGCCGATGAGTATGTACATATTATAAACTTTAATTCAAATATCATTTTTCTAATCATACGCTTCTTTACACGAAACTATAGAATTTTGTTTTTGTTTTGTGTGTGTGTGGAAAAAATACACATAAATTATGCGTTCTCTTGCTGTTGCTTGTTTTGTGCAAACACACACATCTATGTCTTCAATCAAACGTTTTAATGAGTTGTTTTGGTTGTCGAAGATGGGAGAGAGAAATTGGAAATGTTTAAAAGTTGTCAGCATGATAATGAGAGGCGACTTATGACCGATGTGGCTGTACAGCGTCATCCTTTCGGTTGTTTCAAAACAATTTGAAACCTTTTGAACTAGATGCAATATACACGGGTACCGTTTTTTGGTTTTTTATCCATCATGAGGTTACTGTATGTTGTGTGTTGTTGTTGTAACCGGAAAAATAATACACAAAGTAGTTTTTTGTGAATGTTGCGGGAGCGATACTCCTTAGCCGGATAAATACTTGACTGTCGAGTAAACTATTGGATTTTAGCGGATAAATTTTTGAGCTCATAACCCGCAGGGGTATTTTACTGTGTATATTTGACTTGGGTTCCAAAATTTTTAATTGAACTTATACATCGGGGTGCGATAAACTAAGTGGAGTTTTACTTCGATTCATTTAAATTCTCCTTTACCTCATATCTACTACCTGCCTATCTAAACTCCAGTTGGATCATGGAAAGCGTGTGCGCATGCAAACCAAATTTAATTTCGTTAAATTGTCAGAAAACTCCAAGGCCGCAACAAAATCGTCAAAGCGACGAAGATAAGCAAATGTTGATGGCAACTGGGGGACTAGCGAGACGCAGTAGAAGAACTTAACTTGTCAAAACACCGTCCACAGGACCGTGACAGAAAACCTTCTGATACCTCTTGCACAGCGAAGCATCTATGCCACGAGTTACGTAGCAATTTTTGGAGCATTCCAACAGCCATTTATTAGAAGCCCAAACACCAACTAGGTACATCGGACCGGTACTACTGGACCGCAGTACCATTTACAACAACCGCAGGATAGTAGTCCGTTAACACCTACATGAGCTCTCTTCTTGTGAATGGCGTTCTAGCAGTCGAACAACGACTTATCGCAGACGAAGAGCTCAAGCTGTCTCAAGACTCCCTCATAATACTAGTACAACTTAGGTCTGGATATTGTACTAGATTAAAATCCTATTTAGCCAGACTCGATCCCGACATACTTAAAGTTTGTCATGTATGCAATGAGTGCCCGTACGACAGAAACCACCTCTTTGCATGCCGCCGAAAACCAACTCACCAAAGCTCCCTTTCTCTCTGGTCCGAAACCGCCGAAATATACCGATTCCTGACTTCCATGATTTGGACTTATCTAGCCTGCTGCTAAGCGGGGTTGGTAAACAGCTACTTCAACAACAACAACATCAGCGTTTTTCTGGCGTCGGTCGAACCAAAAAAATTTTAATAAAAGGAATGAAATTTAAAGAAATTTTGGAGTCTTTTTAAAATTTCGTTGACAACTTTTGAAATTCAGTGGAACTTTCTAAATTCTGTTTTTAGTTCAACACTATTTTAGACCTCGACTTACACTGTTTTTAAATAAAGTTGTTGGACAGCCAACTCTCATTCGACTTTTATTAAATGCAGTAATCCTGGAATTACTGCTCCACATATTACTCAATTTCTCTCTCTCCTGCTTAAAGCTGAACCAAACAACCAACAGATCTACACTCCTTATTTTGAATGAAAATGAGAAATGAAAATTTTTTTTTGGATAAAAAAACGTAGTTGATACTGGTTGCTGGCACAAACATTTTTCAAATATTTCCCATTTGTATGTATAATATGTAAAATACTCGTATGTATATAGTAGCGTAAATTATTATTTATTGACTTCATTTGTTACACTCCTTTCGTTTATGTTTCGGTATTTGGTATTTTTAGTCACTTTTTTTTTGCCTTTTCGTTTAATAAAAATATTTTGTAATGTAATTTTTCCGCATAATAAATACCCCATCTCATACGTATGTAGTAGTGTGTTTGTTATTAAAGTAGTTTCCTACTAGTTAGACGTGCATGTTTCTCATTTCTTTGAAGAACTTTTGCCTCTCCAAAACCAAACTTGCAGTTATTGTAAATATTTAACAACTCATTTCCCCTTTCTTTTGCTTACACTCTATACCGTTGTGCGCGTTGCATTATCATTATCCCTGCACATGCGTAACATTCACACATACACACATTCATACATACATCATATTTGCATAAACTTTTTATTGCTGGCTTGTAATAAATAAATGATTGGAAACCAACGAAAAACAAAATTCATATTTAATCATCATAATTACGTAAAAATATAATTCATAACGAATTATGTATGTACTTCCCACCTCATTTATTCTACGACTTCATCATTACAATTCATCGTAACCGCAAATGTAAACAACCACCACTTGAAAACCACCACATACATCTGTATATGTACGTATATACGGCATTGTAAAATATGAAAAATGTAAATTTGTAGAAATGTATTTAGTAAAAATCGCACCACCATCACTACCACCACAACCATCACCACCAAAACCACAACCACCTTAAACACGACCAAAAAAATCATTTCAACAACCAACACCAACGCCAATAGCACCAACACAACCTCAACTACCAAAACCGCTTCAAATCATACCGCCTCGACTGTGTTTAGAAATGCGTCGCATGGTGCCGAAGCAGCCGTAGCCACAGCAACAACAACAGCAACAGCAGCAAAGACGTATTTGTCATCGTCATCGTCAAACAACGTCGCCGCCGTCGCCAATATAACAGCGACAGCAGTGACAAAATGTTATTTAAAACATGCTAACAATCAAAATCAAAATTCTCACAAATCAACTAATCAAAATCATATAATATCCCAAACAAATTTGAATTCTTCCTCCAATTCATCTAACCATTGCCAATCTCATCACAACTCCAATCATAATCATCATAACCACCACCATAACCACCACCACCATAACCACCACCATAACCACCACCATAACCACCACCATAACCACCACCAAAACCATCATCAACATGGTCATCAATATACGCACCAAACGCACGCTTCCCAATTTCCCATGCATTCCTCTAATACCAATCCATTGACATCAACAACGTTGAACGCCTTTAATTATGCTACCAAAAATTCCACGAATACGAATTTTCTCAGTTTTACCGAAACGGAAGAAGTTCTACAAATCGGTATGCACAAAGTGCTCGTCTATGTGAAGAACCACCGTGATGCCTGGCCATTTATGGATCCCGTTGAGGAGGATATAGCGCCACGTTATTATTCCATTATACGCAGGTGAGTTTTTGAATGCAAAAAAAAAAAAAAAAAAAATTAAAATTAAAAAAAAAAAATAAATTACAATAAGAAATCTGATGGGAAAAATCAGAATAATGCGATTCAGGCAAATTTACTTATGTACACACATATATCTGGTTATGTGGAGGCGTTATTTAGGGTTTGAGATAAGCAAGCAAATATAGAAATATGATATTAGCTTAAGCTTGCTTGGACACATAAGCATTCGAATTTCGAACTTTCGAACCATATTTTCCACTCTCAAAAACGCTTTTTGAAAATTGGTATTTGTTGATTTTTTTCGCGTGGTAATCATACGATTTTTGATCGGTTTTTCGTTATTTTCCTTTAATATGATACATAAATTATTATCTTCAAAATGTTTATGTAATGTATATACGCGTATATACATATATACATATTAACCCTGGCAAGCGTTTTCTATGTTTCAAATGTCGTGTAAGTCGAACAAAAAATACAATTTCTTAGAATATATTCCAGGTTCACTTTCCAGAGAGAAAAGCTATTTCTATGTTATTCCGGACAAAGAGCTTAAGTCCAAAAATCTAACAAACTGAACCCCAAATTCGATATTATTGTATCCTTTGTTTGTTGTACTAAATGGAACGTCACTGTACTTTTTAGTGCTTTCTTTTTGATTAATAAATTTTGATAAAAACGGACCCTGGTCTAATTCCTGGACAGAAAAGTTCTCCATAAATTCAATTTTTTAGCATAGATTGGTTCCGGTAGCATACGATAATTTGTTTTTGTAGCCGCAGAAATATTCATCATTTTAGTTGCCTCTTACGACAGGCTTGTCTTCAACACTCGAGACAGTCGGCTCCACGTACCAGAGTTGACCCGGATTTTATCTGGTAAAAAGCTGTCACTCTTTCGTCAGCAGGTAAACTAAGTCTAAGTGCATCAACGGAGCAACACCTCGCAGTTGGGCTGCTCCAAATGCTGGCTACTCCAGGGCTGGCGTCGAAACCAACTCTGTTCCGACGGATTATTTCCGATGCTTCGGCCGTAAACGACTCCAACATTCCTCCATTTCGGTTAGATGCAACCAGTGCAATGGCTGGAGTCATCTTAAGGTATGTTCAGGTTGCGAGCTACATGCTGCCGGCGCTCAAACGTAATCCAGCCTTTACGGCAGTGCCTGACGTTATGCTCTTGTTCTTTTTCTCTACGATCTCACGGAGCTCCTCAGAGCATGACTCCGATTTTTTGTCTTATCAACCATATCAACCAAAGCCAGTCCTGCAAGCGAACTGTGCTTATAGTACTGACTCGTTCAAACATTCCGTGCTACTATCAGACATTGACGAATCTTTACTACCGGTGGGGTGGAAGACGTGGATCATGAATACCTGAGTGGTCGTTAAGCATCGGTAGAATCTCCCCTTCCTCAACGGAAAATGTTTCCCTGGTCTCATATGCCCTATACTGGCGCCTGGTCAGGTTATTTATGACTTATGTTCGAGACGCAGTTGAAGAAGTCACAAGTTTGCCAAAACATTCTCGGGGCCGGGGATAGAAGCCTTTTGATGTTGCTAGAGCATCATGTGCACACCGAAGCACCTATGCTATGAGTAAAGCAGCATAATGTTTTGCTGTGCAAGCAATTTCCGCTGGGCTCATGCCTCGAGAGTCACGCGTAATGTTAGTACAACTCAGGTCTGGATGTTGTAGTAGGATCAGGTGTGGATATTGTAGTTGATTAAACTTCCACTTATCAAGACTCGACTACGACATACGTATTATATGTCCTGCAAGCAACGAGTCCCCGCACGACACTAAGCTCGTTTTCTCTCTGGCCCGAGTCCGTCGAAACAGCTCGTTCCCTGGACTGCCTAGCCTGTTCCTATGCGCTACTACAGCAACAACAACAACAAAAACGTACATTATCGTGGGGAAAGCTTAACAGAGCCTCTACGATCAGTGATCTATCCCTGCAATGGACTAATCCGTCATTCATTCAGGATAATGCAATAAATATGATCCGGTGCTCCTCGCCCATACAAATAAAAAGACTTGTTTATTCGTTTAATATTTCCTTCCGTCAATCACTTATTTTTATTTTTATTTTTAGAACAGTATATTAACAGACATATTTAAATATATATTTCCTTATTTTTTCCTCGATAGGCCAATGGATCTGTTAAAAATGGAAGATAAATTGGACAATGGCGAATATAATAAATTTAGTGATTTTCGTAACGATTTTAAATTGATTGTAAATAACTGTCGCCTTTATAACGGACACAACAATGGTGAGTTCAGAGACATTAATGAAATATTTTCACCTTATGTTTTTGTTTGATTTTCTTTTTATTGCTCACTTCCAGAATACACGGAAATGGTGAATAATTTGCAAGAGGCGTTTGACAAGGCCACCAAGAAATACTTTGATAATTTATCCGATGATGATGAGGATGATCCGAGTTTGGGCTATCCGGCAGCCGACTCAAAAATGAATGTCTTCCGTGAGAAGTACTTTAATAAGAAGTCTTCAAAAGATGCCAGCAGCGATAGCCAAAGTGTAACAACAGATCTGGATAAATGTGCAGGGGACAAGGCAACGGATAGAAAGAAAAGTTTCAAAAAGCATACACATGCACATGACTCCGTTATAGCGATGAATAATGATAAACGTCTTGATAGTGGTGAAGAGGATGTAGAGGAAATAGCTGGTGGCGACGTAGAACAACGTGGCACAAAACGAAAGCGTAAAGAGAAGGATAAAAGGCGTAAGAAGAAATCAAAAAGTAAGAATGCTGCATTAGAAAAAAACACAGACGACGAAGATTGCATGGATATGGAGGACAATCGGGGTGATGACGAAATGCCCGAAGAATTGGATCAAGCACAGAATTCGAAAAAGAATAAAAGTAAACAAAATAAAGACAACTCGAAAAAGAGTAAAAAGAATAAAAGTGAAAAAACTTCCAAATCTTCATCAAGCAAGACTTCGAAAAGCAAGAATACAAAGAAACAAAACAAAAAGAGTAGTAAATCGAAAAATCACAATTCCGAAGAGTCTGCATTATCTGAAGAGGACGAGCCAATACCAGAACCACAACGCTCGGTGGAGTTGGACAAAATTTCAGCGGCACAGGATGAATCTGATATGGACCCCGAACTGGATTCTGTAGATGAAGCCGACGATGATGATGACGAGAGTTTCGAATATCCGGCCGCTAAGAGGAGTAAAAATAAGGAAAACAAATCTCATACCAAATCTAACACTCCCGCAGGGAATAAGAAAAAATCTGCCGTAGCTAAATCCAATCAGAAACATCTTACGGCGACACCGGTGGCATCTAAACACCAGAAAGGGAAAAGCAAGACTAGCAAGTCGAAGAGCAAGTCTAAAACAGCTCCAGCTAATAGCGATGGCGAAAGCGAAAATGAAACGGAAAAATTGGTGCAGAAATCGAATTTGAATAAAGATATGCCACCACCCGCTGTGGATGCGCTTGCCGCTTCAGCTTCCGAGTTGGAGGAGGAGGTAATCGACGATGATGATGATTCCCGTTCGCGCAGTATGTCACCCTTTAAAGTGGATCTGCATAAGAAATATTCCAAAAGTGCACTTAACGACGATCTCTGTGACTTATTGACCACAGTCAAAAGAGTACCAGGTGGTACAAAGCCAGCAAACAACTCCAATCAAAAGCGCCTAGAAGAAGATGATGAGGATGATGATTTCAAATCCTTGTCCAGCCGCAGCTCAACACCGGTACGTGCATCTAGTGAGGAGCGCAAAACCAAGCGTGCGCCTAAGAAGAGTACACGAAATGCGAAAAAAGAAGAACCCAGAAGTAAGAAGAATTCGTCGTCGAGTAGCACAACGGCGGCGAGTAAAAAGAGTGCTGAGCTCGATGCCGCTGCGGCGGCTGAGGCTGCAAAACAAGCTGAGCTGGAAATGTTGTTACCTTTTCTGGACAAATATGAGCTTATTAAATATCGGCGTAGTCGCGCAAACAACTTGCAACAGACTGCAGCGGTGAGTACTACAGTTGAAGACACTCAAAGGAGTAGGAATCGCTCTAAAGAAACCAGTGCGAAGAAGAAGGATACGAAAGCGGGGGAGAAGGTTGAGAAATCAAATGGCGAAAGTAATAAATCCCGAAAAAACAATAAAAAATCCAAAAAGGAAACTCGCACCAAAGAGCTGAAGGAGGCCTCCGACAGCGAAGAGCTGAAGACGAAACCACCACCACCACCACCGCCAGCAAAAGAGGATACAAATGCAAAGAGCACGAAATCTGAAGAAAAGACGCCATCGAAAGCAATAAAGACACCCACTAAAGCGGAAGTAACGGATGAAGAATGTATTGAAAGTCCAGCAAGCATTGCTTCTACTTCGATTAAAAGTGCTAAAAATATTGAAAAGAAAACAACAACAACGCCAGATAAAGCGACCGTAAAAAGAAAGGAGAAGTCTAAACCAGAACCTAGTGCAGCTGCACAAGTGGAAGAAGTCCCGAAGAAACCCGCTGAAAAGCCTGCAGCTCCAGTGCCACCGAAAAAAGCTTTACAAAAGAAAGCAGCGGCGAGTGCTGCTGCGAATAAAAAGGCGAACAATAAAACAGCCGCAAGTGCTGCCTCGAGCAAAAACTCCTCTACCAACATAGAAGCGCTAGATGTGGAAACCGAACAGACGCTTAAAGATATCAATCGTTGGCTAGAGCATACGCCACGTTTTTCCGAATTTAGTTCTGCAAGCAATTCCCCCTCACGCTACAACCTGGATGAATTCGATGCAGCTTTACCCGCCAAGCTGGAGCCAGCCGATTTCCGGCGTCCTGTGCCGATTGCGCCGCCCAAAATCGATTTGGTGCCCACTAAATTAGCAGAGGTGCTAGTTGATTTAGTTGCCGATGGCGACTCAGTAGTTGCAAATGATCTTAAGAAAGAGGTGATTTCGGATTTGATAACAGGCGGCATGTCCGTGAGCACAGTTGGTGGCACGGCGAGCAGTGTGAGCTCGAGCTGTGGTACACCGCCGCATTCGGTAACGTCTGCCAACTCCATTGGAAGTACCTCAGCAAACGCTTCATCCAACAATTCAGTAGTTAATGCACCGTCGATATCATCGATCGCATCTGCATCGGCGGCCAATCAACCGACTTTGCTAATACCGCCACCACCAGCTACTGTGACGCCGGCCTTAAGTTCGCTTGCGCCACCAAAACCCAAAGAGCCCAGCACCACTCAGTTGTTGCTACATCCACCTCCACCGCCGCATATCAAAAATCAATTGGCCAAGGAAGCCAAACGGAAGTCCTTGAAGGAGAAGTTGCAGGCAGCTTCTAACCCCCGGCGCAAGGATTTACTTCGTACAATCGAACGTTTGCAACCGGGCAAAGCCAAAGGCAATCTAATACAAAATATTAATAAACCTGATGAACTCTTTCCTTTAGGCCCTGTTGCGGCTAAGTCGAAGGAAGTAAAGAACGCTCTGATTGTTGATACATGCGATAATGGACCTAAACTGAGTTTAGGTACTGTTATAAAAACTGATGATTTTGCTTTAGGCCAATCGCATAATTTCATTGACGAGTTGGCCAGCAAAACTGAGGCGAAGGCAAAGAACTCCATTGAGAAAGAAGGCGAGGAAAAACCGAGTAGAACCAGCGCACTTGAAATTATATCGCCTTTCACTCCAAAAGCGTCGACAGCACCAGCAGGTATTCCATCGCCGGAAACGGAAGCTGAAAAGAAAACGGTTGAAGCGCCTGTTAGCGACTATACAAAACCGTTTGAAAAGTTATTGGAGCTCAAATCTGCTGCCACTGCAGAATCTGCCAGCGGTGCCGCAGCTAAAGAAAAACCGAATTTGAGCGCTTGGCTGAAGGCTTTCGGCGCTCCAAAGAAAGCAAAGAAGACGGAAGAAGAAGAAAAGCTACAGCAACAACAGGCAGATGGGAACGAGTCAGCCTCTAGCGCAGGCATTACTTCTAGCTCGACAAAATCCAACGACGGTACAGCGACGGCGTCTATATCCTCCACGGGAGCCACCGTTGCCAGCCGATCACCTACGTCCGCAACAATGACCGGTGGCGTTGATTTTTCCCTACCCTCTGCACCGAGACAACGTAAGGCCAGCACCGGCAGCACCATATCCGAGCGGTCTTCGTTCAGTCAGGATCCCGACTCGCCGCGAATTGCCATTGATGAACGTTATGGCTCTTATGCGGGTGCAAATTATACCTCACCCATTGGTGCTTCTCCGATCGGCGCATCGCCCATAATGGTTTCTCCAAAACCAGACGAAGTTAGCAAGCCTACCTCACCCTATCCACTAAATGGCGCCATTAAGGTGGGTTTCTATCAAGACACAACTACAAAGAGTAGTCCTGATAAGAGTTGTAGCCCGCGCGAAATGCCTTCGCCATATCCTCAATACTCTCAACATATATACTCATCTGCTTCTTCACCAAATGTTTCAACGCCGGAGTTGAGTGGTACTTCGCCCTACGGTGGCGCAAACAGCTATAATCCGTCTGGTTCAGAAGCCTCAAAAACGCCGGTGTACTCATCCACCTCACCACTGCCGAATCTCTATGATCAGTACAAGCAGCCGCGATCACAAGAATCCGATTATAATTCATCCATGAGCCCGAGTACACCCAATCCGAATTCACCATATCAACAACCGCAAAGTTCACCATACACGGCGCCATCGCACCAGTCACCCTATCACCAACCCAATTCACCGTATCATCAGCAACCACATTCGCCCTTCCACCAGCAAACACACAGCCCGGCACACACATCATCCACGGCAACAGCAGCCCCGCCAGCTGACGCTACCTCAGTTCACTCGCCTTTGCAACATCAGCAGCCGCATAGTCCCATGCCTAGCAGTGTAGATTCACCAGCTTCGTCTGCTGCTACACAGCCACCAACACCCCTAGCACATTCGCCGATAGATCAACCGCATTCGCCGTACCAACAGCCAATTAATTCGCCTTATCAATCACAAGTGCCCCAACCGCAACCAGCGCAAGTCCAACAGCAACAGCAATTGCAGCAAAATGCAAACGCGCTGTCGCCGTACAGCCAAAGCAGTATGAGTCCCTCGCCATATCAAGCGTCTGTGAGGACCCCGGAGGCAGCAGCCAGTTTTAATCAATTGACACAAAATGCGGATTCTGGAAAAGTAACAGCTGATGCTACGCCTGTACCATCAGCGACATTAGCACCAGTTAATACCTATGAAAAAAATTCTACAAACAGCGGGGGTAACAGTATCAATAATAGTAGCAACCCGGGCTCTAATGGTAGCAGTGGAAATGCGGCGGTGGCAGCTATCCCGGGCTATGTGCCAACAGCGCAGGATCTTTATGGCTCAGCCGCAATGGTGGGACGACAGTCCACGCAACCACAAGCAATGTTGCAACAACAACAACAACAACAACAACAGCATCAGCAGCAAACCCAACAACAACAACAACAACAGCAGCAACTAACTGAAAGCTTGCGATCGATTTACGGCACTGGAGTTGGAACTGCGGCATCATCCCTTGTGGAGGGTGCCAAAAATACGGATTGGAATATGGCAGGCGTGCAGCAGATGCCAGATCAAAGGCAGCAGCTGCAGTCACAACAACAGTTGCAACAACAACCACACAATACGCAGCAACCATTGCAACAGCAGCAGCAGCAGCAGCAACAGCAACAGCAACAACAACAACAACAACAACAACAACAACAACAACAACAACAAAATATTCACCAAAAGTTGCAACAACAGCAGCAGGTACAGCAGCAGCAACAATTGCAGCAGCAGCAAAAGCCCCAATACCCCACATACGCTCAGTATCAATCGAAGGCAGCTGCTGCTGCCGCCGCCGCGGCCGCTTCTACAAATAAGGAAATATCCGTTTCCGATAAGATCGAGAATGAGAAGAAGCAGAACGCTGCAGCCAGCAGCTATACTGACGCCACATCCGCTAACGATATGGTGGCTTTCATGCAACACATGCACCAACAGGCGCAGGCACATAAAAACTCCATGGCCGGAATTTCAACGTCTGTGGCATCAGGCTCGGTATCGTCAAGCGGATCCACAGGCTCCACCGCTCTGAATTCAAATGCTAACGCACTCAAGCGTACGGCAGAAGATATGTTGGGTATGGACTACAGTGGCACGAGTGGAGCGGGTATCGGTGGTGGCGGAAGCGTAGCGAACAAGATGCCGAAATGTGAGAACAACAGTGGGTTGCAGCAGCAAACGTCTCAGGTTTCAGCCCAGAGCAGTAAGCAGCAGCAAATGTTCGATAGTTTCTTGGGCGCCATGCCGTTCGGCAAGCATTTGGGCAGCATTACGCCGGACAAAGCGTTTGAAATGTATAACCGTGCTGCGTCGATGGGGTTTCCCAAAGACTATGCGAAGGATATTAGTTGCCAATTGCAACAACAACAGCAACAGCCACAGTCGCAGACACAACATCAGCAACAACAACAGCAGCAACAGTCGCAGGCGCAACATCAGCAACAGCAGCAAACGAATGTTGCAGCGAGCCAGCAACAGCAACAACAACAACAGATACAGCAACAAAAGCAAACACATCAGCTGCAACAACAGCTGCAGCATGGCTCACAACACCAACAGCAGCAGAATCAACATCACCAGCAACTGCAACATAACCCACACGGACAGCAGCAATCACAACACTTATCCAAATCTAGCCTAGATAGCATCACCGCCAGTTTATTAAATAAGCCGCTGAATTATGGCTCCAGCAGCCTACAACAGCAGCAGCAACAACAGCAGCACCAGCAGCAGCAACAACAACAGCAGCAGCAGCAGCAGCAGCAGCAACAACAGCAGCTAAGTCGCTCGCAACAGTTAAATCAGAACTATCCAACGCAAGCCCAACAGCAGCACTCCCAACAACAAAGTGCGCAACAGCAACAATTGCCGACTAAAGCAACTCCATCACCAGCTACAGCAGCCACAGCACTGGACAATGGAAACATGTTAAATATGCCCACCCATCATCTAGCACATCATCTCTCGGCATACAATAAGCCAACACCTCCACCGCCCCCAGCGCAGACCTACAGCAATCCGACAGCCTCGCTGCTGCACCCCTTAGCAGAAAGCTTGTTCGGCTTATCTTCAGCGAGTCCCGGCTTTTACGATAAGAACATGCCACCCGCAGCCCACATGTACAATGCAGCGGGGACGGCGAAAAATCTCTCGACTTCGCAGCTTTACTCAAATTCAGCGTCGATTGCTGCAATGAATGCGGGTACTAGCAGTATGTATGGTCATACACAACAACATACCGCCGCTTCTGCGACTGGTAACACCTATGCCGGCACCGGCACCAGCTCTAGTTGTAGCAATAACAATAGTAATCAACAACAGCAAAGTAACGCAACTGCAGCAACGGATGTCGCAAAGGCTGCGGCACCTGTAGCGCCAGCTCCTGCCAAGCGTGGACGCAAGAAGAAGGCGTCGACTATTGCAGCAGAGGCAGCGACAGCCGCTGCACTAGCAGCTAAACTGCAACAACAACAGCTTCAGCAGCGACAACAACAGCAACAGCAGCAACAATTGCAGCAACAACAACAACAACAGCAGCAACAACAACAACAGCAGCAGCAACAGTTAACCCAAAATCATTTACATACATCACAGTATAACACAGCGGCGGCGCACATGACACAGTTAGCGGGTGGTGGGGCGGCCACAACGGCCCAACCCGCACACCAAAGTTCGAGTGGTGTACCTGCACACTTGCAAGCGCACGCACAGGCATTGCAGCAAGGGTTTCATCTTTATGCTGACCTAAAGACGGGCGGCGTAGGTTCACCACTCTCGGCGTCCAGCAGCACAAACTCTGCAGCAGTGGTTGCTGCTGCGGCAGCTGCAGCGGCCAATAATGTTGCAGCCCACAGCGCAGCCTCAGCCACAGCAGGTTCAAATGCAAGCGGTGTTGATGTTGCAACAGCAATTTCTCTGAAGACATCGGCAGCTGAAGCCAGCGGCATGGTGCCAGGTAGCGCATTCAATTTCGGACCTGCACCGGGCAGTCTCGGTTTGTACGGCGATCAAGCGGCGGCTGCTGCCGCTAGCAGCTATCTAGATCAATTCAGGGAAGCATCAAACCCCTACTATATGCCACCTGCGCCGGCGCCAGCACATCGTAATTCAGCCAGTGAGGCGGCAAGCGCTGCAGAGAAAGCGCAATCTGCGTTGAGTTCAAGCGCGACGGCAGCTAGCGCATATCCCTTTTTGGCTGCACACACAACACCACGTGCCACACCCTACTCGTTTATGCATAACGCGGGCACTTCCCAACTGACCGATCCCAATTCACAATTGTATTCATCATATTTGCGACGCGAGGACTTTCTCATGTTCAATCAGGGACTATTAGGGCGCGGTGCAGGTGCGGCAGCTTATGGTCAACCACCGCCGCCATCTGCATACCGACCGTCAAGCCTAGGCATGCCAAAGCCGTATGATATTAATCGCTCATGGTTTTAGCAGTGCGCCAACAACACCGCCCAAGAGGAATTAGCCGAATCGCGAACGACTGCAGCGGCAACAGAGACGATGACAAGTGGCGGCGTTGATGGCAAAGGTAGTAATGGAAGTGTATTGGGCGGACAGATGCAGCTGCAGCAACAGCAACAGCAACAACAACAGCAACAACAACATCAACAACAACAGCAGCTACAACAAAGGCTACAACCAGGTCACGCGCATGCACAGCAGCAACATATCCAACAACCGCAACAGCAACAACTTCAAAGTCGGTTGGAACATCAAAGTCAGCACTTGCAGTCGCACCAGCTGTGAGGTATAGCGCAGGCGGCAAGTGTATAATACCAATGTGGCGCGATGGCACACATCGGGCTATTTCAGTCAACCATTGATTTGGTTGGAACTGTAGGAGCATAGCGGTGAAAGCTTTGCTAAACTGACAATTATCGTTATCTTATGTTCAGCTTTAGTAGATATATAACGGATAAAAATTTAAATGAATTATTGTATAAGGTAGTGTAGGGAAAGTGTGAAGCATTTTTCGTTTGATATTATGCACTTACATACATACAAACATACATACATACATACATACATACATACATACACACATTCACACTATATTAATGTCTATAAAAATTCAATTAAGTTAGCGAATGTGTAAAAATGCACTAAATTGAAAAAAAAAAAACAAGAAAAAGAAAAATCATTCTAATATTAGTTTAGTGTGTATTTATTACGATTAAGCACAAAGTCTTATTTATGCTTTAAGATACACTTATCGATATACAATAAAATGTTGATGTAAAATCGACGGTTAAACCTGTACATTTGTTATATTTATAGTTCCATTTGGGATTTGATAATAAGTTGATAAATTCAAAGTAGTTAAGTTTACTATTATGTAAAATGTTGCTTAAATAAATTAATTTAAAGTGTATAGGATATTGATTTTATGCTATGCGCTCTTTATACTCCATATATGTATGTATGGAGATATACATATGTGTATGTATTTAAAAATATTATACTATGTGTATGGTTTGGAGCACTGAACACTTTCGTAAAGTAAAACTAAGCCTTTTATTTGTATATACAGTTACGAAAACGCTACATATTAGAATGTATGCGTGTTTTAATTTTAAGTAAATATTGCAAAAATAAAGTTAAACTATCAGGAGATTAACAAAGATTGTCACTATACAAGTTTTGATTCCTTCATTACGCATACACTTACGGCTTCCTACTCATTTTATATAATATATGTAAAGCTTATAATATAGTCATAAAGAGCTTTGAAATAAATGTGGTGTACAATTAACAAATGAATAGATTCCATTTAATCGGTTTGTAGGGCGCACACATTCCTTTCCGACTGTCCGACTGTTGACTGTTGACTGTTTACTGTTGTAAATGTGACTGTAGTAGTGTGTGGTTTTGTTTTTCCTTTTAGTTTATAAATTGAATTAACTTATGTATTTGAAATACTTGAAATACTATTTAACTAAACTAAAATTAGATTAAATAAGTTCAATACCCATAACACACATCGCTAGCTAGCTAAATCATCAGCAATCGATTTTTAAATAAAGTACATAATTAATATATTAATATGCGCAGTATAATAATAATATTTTTTTTTTTGCAAATCAGGCAATATTTTGTTTTAAACACAAGCGGCTATAAATTTTTATTTTTATTTATTTTTTCTCTATGCTTAATTTAAGGTAGTTGCTTTAAAATCAAGTATGCAATAATATATATTTATATATATTATATATATGTATATATAAATGTAAAGAAGCCTAACTCTAGGGTAGTTCAGTAATGCGTTTTAATTACATAGCACTATTTAATGAAAAAAAAAAATATATAATTTATTTAAAAATAAAAAGTGTATGAAGCGGATGTTCTACATATTTTTGTTTTTATATTCAGCGTTTATAAATAAAATTTGCTTTCTAATAGCTTAAAGGGTTCATAATTCCTTCTCACATGATGACTATTTGTCGTTTTGTCGTTCTTTTTATATAATTGTTTTTTTTTTCCACTATGCGCTTCTTCGTTCTTTTTTTATAATTGTTTTTTTTTCCACTATGCGCTTCTTTATTTATTTCGTTTATAGATTGTATGTATGTATATTTAAAAACCTGTATAACTTTGTAACCTTATGCTCTTCTAAATGCGGCTACCTCTCGGTAAGGCATGTCAAAACCTCCGACTTTAAAATAACCTCAAAATAGCGGGTAGCCTTTCGCAGGGTAATTCCATTACAGGTAGAAGAAACATCACTACCACTAATTGAGGGCGCAAGCTCGGTGGACTAAATAAAAAAATTAAAAAAGTGGAATAATAAATGAATAGCAGACGAGCAACTAAATGAAATTCAATTGAATAATTAAAATAAAAATAATAATTATAAATAATAATAATAATAAAAAAAATCATAATAATAATAAAAAATAATAAAATAATAATAAAAAATAATAAAATAATAATAAAAAATAATAAAATAATAATAATAATAAAAAAGTGATAATAATAAGAAATGATACAATTACGAAAATAGTCATAAAGAAATAATAACATAAAAATTAACAAAAATAATTTTTTTATTACTAAAATAATAATATGGAGAAATTATAATAAAATGAAAGTAATAATAATAAGGTAATAATAAGAATAAAATAAAAATCATGATAAATTAATAATGATAAAAATAATAAAATATTGATAAAAATAATGATAAAAATAATAAAATAATGATTAAAATAGAATAAAAATAATGATAAAAATAAAAAAAATAAAATAAAAATAAAAAAACGATAGAACCAAAATAAAAATCATAAAAGTAAAATAAAAAATGATAAAAATAAAATAAAAATAATGACAAAAATATAAAAAATTTAAAAAAAAAATCATGATAAAAATAAAATAAAAATTATAATAAAATATATGATAAAAATAAATAAAAAAAAATGAAAAAAAAAATGATAATAAAATAATATAATAATAATAATGAAATAATATAATAATTATGATAAAATTATAAACAAAAATAAAAAATTTATATAAATATAATAATATAATAATAATTACATGATAATAATAATAATAAAATAAGAATAATAATAAAATAAGAATAATAATAAAATAAGAATAATAATAATAATAATAATAATAATAATAAAATAATAATAATAATAAAATAATAATAATAAAATAATAATAATTATAATAATAATATTATAATGAAATAATAATAATAATAATACAATAATAATTTAATAACAAAAAAATAGTAATACATATAAAAAATAAATTAAACTTATAATTTAATTATTTTTGTAATAAATAAAAGAAAAGAAATTAAATTAAAATAAATGAAAGCAAAATATCTCACTAAATGGAATAAAATAAAATGCGGCAAAAGTTATAGACAAATAAAACATAATAATTATAATTAATTATTTCACCTTAATTATAAATTAAATGTAAAAAAATATAAGTTCAAGTATGTTATTAAAAATTAATAATCAAAAATCAGTACTACACAACACAAGAAATATGCATGTACATATATATGTATATATAATATATACATATACATACAATATAAATTAAAGAATGATTAGGAAAATATTATGAAAGGAGTAAAAATATGTTTTAAACAAACCAAAATGTAATATGGATCGATATTCGATATTCAAAGAATAAATAATATGTATTTAATAAATAATAAAAAAAACTAAAAAAGTAGAAATATAGCAACTAAAAACAGTTAAAGTAAAAAACTGCAAAACTATAATTTATATATTTAAATGTACCTAGTATATTTAAAATATACCAAAACTTATTAAAGTTTAACAGATTATGTATGTATGAAAACCTTAAAAAATAATAATGCAATACAAAATAATAGGCATAAGCTAAATACACACTCACACACATAAATAACATACAAAAGTTTATTTATACACAAACATTTGTATATAAATAAATCTGAGGCAAATAATTTAAAGCTACTAGTAGATAATTATCCACATGAGCATATATACATAGTACATACATACATATGTATACATATATTATTATATATATATATATTAAATTTAAAATATTGGTGTAGTTTTTCTGCACTGTAAAATATGATGAAATATGATGAAAATATTAATACAAATAAAGAAAAATAATACTGATTATTGTATAAAAATTTTGAAATTTATTTTTGAATAATGTCCTTTAGTTTACAGCACCACAAATTTCAAAAGGGAAGTGCTTGACACATAAAAAATAAACATATATATACGTACATATATACATGTCATTTCTATATATATTCATCAATTTTACAATTTTTCCCCCATTCACTAGCAATGTGCAGCGCCTAAAAGTATGCTCACAAATATTACTAATTTTAGTAAAAGCTTTTAAATTAACAGTGCCGTTAGTTAATATTGGTTCATAATTAAATAAATAATTTCGCAATCAACTCGACCACCCCATTTTCATTAAATGATAATTTGCATGCTTTTGGAAATTATCAATAAATCATTGGTTTGGTGAAAAATGGGACGATCGAGCTCGAAAATTGTAATTATAACCGAAAACGGGTAAGCCGAGCAGAAAAAGCATATGAATCGTTACCGCAATGCAATTCGAGCTACGATTAGCTTTAAAATTAAAAAAACATTCAAAAATGCTCCAACTACATATGACTAGCAGTGAATTCGCCGGGTCTTGAACTAAGGTTCCGATACAAAAATTCTATTCAGCCACAAAGTTGAAACGTCTCTCGTTTTTTAGGTGTGCGAGTTCTCCGAGGTTCGAACATCGACGGATAGATTTTGTGCGCGTTAAAAAGAGTGGAAAGATTCGTCATCGAATAGGTGCAGTTAGCCGAGCAGTTGGAAATTTGAAGTGAAATAGATTCGCTCTTCATCTGATTTCCAATTCTGACATAGCGGCGTGGAGCCAGCTCCTTATTGTGCTGTCAAAGACAGCTTTATAACAAATGCAAGGACAATGTCTATCGATTCTTTGCCTTTTCCAAGATTTGTCGCATAGTGGATATCTGCTCAATGGGGGATTCGCTGAGTCTAAGATAAGGGCCAATCAACTGGTTAACGTGGGCTTTAGTTTTTCACACAATACGTCCGACAGGACCATATATGCGATATTGAGGAGGCTTATCTTACAGCAATTGGCGCAGACAGGGTGATCACCTTTCTTTTTATGGGTTGGACAGAGCACAATCCAATTCCAATCGATCAGACTCCGCAAAGATGCTGAAGGATGCATATTATCAGCTTCTCACCGCCATATTTAAATAGCTCAGCCGGTAAGCTATCGCCTCCCTCCGGTTTTTTGTTCTTTTAGCGGGTAATCGCTATTCGAACTTCACCGTAGTGGGATGATGGAACATCTGTACCATCATCGTCGTTTACTATTTCGGGTTCGCCATCTCCATTCATATTAACTGCAGTTAAGCCAGCTAGAGAAGTATTCCTACCACAAACTCAATATACCTTGAACGTACGTCACCAATACCACATACTTGTTCTTGTAGACGAAAATACACCAATATTTAAACCGTCATATTTTTCGTAGAATTTGCAAGCAAATTTCCTCCTCCACTATCGACCAAATATTCACAATACCCCCAATCGTGAGAAAGATCTGTGAAAAAATGAGTGCTTAGCATTGTGTACTGATAATCTGAAGACCAGAGTTCAAGCCCGGATTCGAGCAACATCTAAAATAATTGAATTTGTCCAATTGTGGTTGTCTTTCGGCAGGAAATGTCAAGCCCTGCGAGTGGCGGACGTTCGGAAGAGGCTTAAAATACACTGTAAGCCCCTCCTATTGTTGAAAAAAACTTCAAGACGCAAAATCACAAATTGGAGGAGGAGCTCGGCTGAAAATCGCTTCAGCGGTTACAAAGTGCTAATTTTTATATATAAACTGACGCGGGAGAATACAAGCCAGATTTAGAAAGAACCTCTCCGCATCGTTCTGTATATAACGAATTTTATAATGGGGTAATCTGCCATCCTGCCAATTCTTCAACTTAACGCTGAAGAAGATCAGCGATAAGATGCGGAGGCGCCGGTGTCAGGAATTTTCGAGAGAAAGGTTTTGCGGAAATCTTTTGCTTTGAGTATCGCAGTCGATGGAACAATGAGCTGTAAGAGATATACATATACAACTTATTTACTCTTTTTTTTGACTATTTTACCGTTTTTAATAATATTAGTAACTGTTCTCTGCTATGCTTATGCATTGAAGTTTACAAATATATGTATTCCATTTTCATTTCGATTAT